AGGCTGTTTCTGGTATGTCTAAAAACAAGCAGAATGTTGCCCTAACACCTGATGTGCAAGATATTGCAAATGTAGACTGACAATGAAAAAAGAGATATTAAAAATTCACATTGGCAGGCTGTCCTGCTGAGACACATGAAAGGGAATTCTTCCTTTCCAAAATGTAGGAAAGAGGAAATTGCCATTTCTGCAGACTCTCCACTCTGTGCATTGGATCCACAAAGGCTGGAAATCTTTACAGAAGGTGACCCAATGGTGGTTGGGGCTGGAGGAATATCTATGCCACATTCATTAAATCCCCATCACCAGCCTGATAGAAAATCTACTGAAAAGTTATTACAGCTGGAGGCTGGCAGTGGAGGCCAAGGAACTAGAGGTTAGATTGATAGTTAGAAGTGTCAGTAACTATATCCTAAAACTACAAAGATGCAAGGATACTGGACAATGTTTTAAAAGACATGCAGTTTCCACTGCTTAAATGTATTAACTTTGTAAAGTAATATAAAGAAACATCTAAGATTAATTTGAACTGTTAATATCTTCCACGGATTAAACAAACCTTTTTTTAAATGTCAAAAGTTATCAAAATATGATTTAATTATTAATAAGATCTGTTTCATTAGAGAATTAGAGGCTAGTCAGAATTGTACCAAGTTTCAGAGAAGATGTTAAGTCTAATCCTAGACATTGTGGTGGTACGCAAATCTTGCTTGGATACCAAGTAAAACAGATGAGAAAATAAAAGAGCATAACAGAGAAAATGAGCCCTGGTTCCACAAAGGGAAATTGTGACTGACCTATCAGAATGCCTTGAAAGAATTAATAAAAAGGAAGAGATCAGAAGAGTCAGCTATAATCTCTTTAGTCTTTCAACAATAAAAAATTAATAAAGGATCTTAAAGGATAACTAATATCCAAATATGACAGGTAAAGCCTTTTCATGGACCGAGAGACAGCAAATGGAGAATGTGTTTAAATTGTCAGTTGACAGTTTGGAAGAGATTAAGAACCAGACTGTCTCCAAGCCTGTACGGGTGGGCAAAAAGGAAGAGGGCAGAGGATATGTAATCCACACACCTTCTGAGTATGGTGTATTGTCCCATGTAGTGGCACTTAGATCACTCACAGGGAGAAATAATTAAGACTCCTCTACAGCCTTAATTAAGAGCCAGATGGCTTTTGGCTCAAGCAGTAGCGGCTCATGCACTATGTTAGAGAATCATAGAATCATGAGGTTGGAACAGTCCTCATAAGGTCATCGAGTCCAACTCCCTGCCCAAAGCAGAACTAATCCTAACTAAATCATCCCAGCTAGGGCTTTGTCAAAACCTTAAAAACCTTTGGGGATGAAGATTCCACCACCTTTCTAGATAAACCCATTCCAGTGCTCCACCACTCTTCTAGTAAAATAATTTTTCCTAATATCCAACCTAGAACTGCAACTTGAGACCATTGCTCCTCATTCTGTTATCTATCACTACTGAGAATAGAATCTCTCCATCCTTTTTGGCACTCCCCCTTCAGGTAGTTAAATACTACTATCAAATCCCTCCTCACTCTTCCCTTCTGCAGCCTAAATAAGACCAAATCCCTCAGCCCATCCCCATAGGTCATGTGCTCCAGCCCTAATCATTTTGGTTTCCCTCCACTGGACTTTCTCCAATGCGTCCACATCCTTTCTGTAGTGGGGGACCCAGAATTGGATGCAACACTTGAGATGTGACTTCACCAGTGCCATATAAAGGGGAATAATTACTTCTCTAGATCTGCTAGCAATGCAGAGGTACCAGGTTCTGTTCTGCTTATTGGCATTACAGGTATACACAACCACAAGTAAATCAGTAGTAGTGCTGAGAGCACAATCCTAGTTCCTGTCTTGCTCCTTAGCGGTGATAGTGACCTCAAATGGATGGGGAGGAGGGGTGGGATCACAAACCTAATTTCCCTCAGCAGATCAGGCCCTGAGGTGGAGAGGACAACACTGTACCCTTTCAAAGGGTGTTGTCAAGGCCGTACTCCCTTTGCAGTCTCCTGCAATTATTGTGCATCTCTAAAGCACCACAGCTCTGGGATTGGTCATCAGATTGGTGAACCTCCACCCTAACCCCAATATCAGTTGCTTTACAAACAAATTTAGACTCAATAGCAGGGTAACAGAGGCTATTCAATATCAATAAATAACCCTTAAAAGGAACCATTACATTCTACTGAAGAAAAACACATATTTGTTATTAAAGATTACAGATATTTTTTTTCAGAATTCCCAGACAGCCTCAACAAACATAGGACAACTGAACAACTTAATGGAAGCTATAACGAGGCAAAATCAGGGTAATACAATAGAATGGATGGTGTACAGCAAACTGTTTGCACACAGTGGTGAGTTCTGATTTACTTATAAGCTCTCGAGGGAGAGGGTGTGGGAAGCAAAGCAAAAGTTCTAAAATCACTGTGAAAATATCAATGAAGCTGTTTTCCCAGTGCACAGCACAGTCCAAAGGAAATAATGAATCATGCAACTCGTTCTCCTCTCTCAGATGAGATGGTATATCTCCTCTTTCAGGGTATGTCTACATTAAAGCGTTATTTTGAAATATCTAATTTTGAAATAGTTATTTTGAAATATTTTATTTTGAAATAACACGTCTACACACAAAATGCATTTTGAAATAGCTTTTTGCTATTTCGAAATAGCGCATCCACACTGATTGGATGCTGACTCACATTTCAGGCCAGCCAGAACTGGTTCTGGCAGGGCATCAGGTCAGAAGTTACCTTGTGGCCAGGACAGCCAACAGGGAACCCTGGGAAGGGCTGGAGGCCCCCTATTTTGAAATAAGCGTCTATACAGCGCTTATTTAGAAATAGCAATTTCAAAATTGGTGCTATTCCTTGTGGAATGAGGTTTACTAATTTCAAAATAAGCCTTCCGCTATTTTGAATTAATTTCAAAATAGCAGTTGGCTTGTGTAGATGCTAGGAAAGTTATTTTGAAATAAGAACTGTTATTTCAAATTAACTTTGCTGTGTAGACATACCCTCAGATGAGATGGAAAGGGGATCAATTGTTTAATTAATACAGAAAACATAATGAAATTATAAATTGATGGGATGAGCTCAACTTGAATTCTGCATTTAAGGCTGGTCCTTTCATCTGAGAAAAGTCATAATAGAACTCTTGAAATGACAAAACAAGAATTCTACAATAATTCAAGGCATGAGAGCTTCCATATAAAGACAAGAACTGTTACTTAGTTTGGAGGGGTACATCTACACTGTACGCTTATTTCGGAATAAGCTATTCCAGAAGAATTACTTTGAATGGCTTGGGAAGCATCTGCACGACTGCTATTCCTAAATAGCAATTTTGGAAGATGCATCATTCCTCGTGGAATGAGGTTTACAGAATCCAGAATAAGCCACCTGTCATTTCAAAATCGTTTTGGAATAACATCTGCATTCCAAAATAATGCTGCAGTGTAGACATATCTGAGAAGAGCTAAATAAAAATAAAAGGAGTTCAGCTAGAAATAAAGCATATACACAAAGAAGAGTATGCCCCTCCCCCCGCCAAAAAAAGTGTGAGTTCTGTGTGTCATAAACCAAAATACTGTATCATTACTCCCTTAGCACCCTCCCTCCAAACTCTGGGTCCAGCACATTGCAACCAATAATGCCTCTCGTGATTAAGTTTGAGGAATGGGAATTGATGTCTTCCTTCTCCACTGCACCAACCATTAATAATTAGTTAACTTCATAGCATCCCAGTTCCAGTATCTGCAACTATGTTTAACAAGCATGGAAAAGAGTTTGATGTTTCTATTATATAATGATCACCAATACAGTAGTTGCCATCACTGACATTTTAAGTACCCCATCAGGTTCTAGAATCAATACCTCATTGTGCCTGGGCAGTTTACACTTCTCAAATGTAGTTTCAGTTTGTCCACAGACTCCAGAAGATAATATTGTAGCAGTTCATGTTCATTTACCACTTAGATTTCCTTTTGCAACCACACAGACAAGAATATATTTTTCTTTGTTTTGAACACACATGCTGGAACCCAAGTATGTAGCAAATTCAAAAAGAAGGATAATTATGCAACAACTTATGCCACTGCATAATCACATTGTACCATTCACAAGGCCCTGGCAATAACAGAATGAAAAGAGCACTTAAAATCAAAAGTCAACAAAAATTAAAATGTATTTCATTTTATACATTTTAACACAATGTTTAATTAACCTTTGACACTCACTGCAGCAAGAAATTACTGAAGCGAAATGCTTTGGAAATTAAAAAAAATGAATCAAACATGTGAATGTATAAGAAGAGTGCAGGCATTTCACTAGGCAGGATACAATTGCAGTACAAAAAGTATGTTTTCTTGCTTCATTGCACAAATTGAGAACCACTGAGGATCAAAAAATGTTTGCCCATTATCTAGTATTGCAAAAATGAGTGTTAAACACTGATTCTAGACATCTCTTGTAGTATAGGTTGCAAGTGGTTTTGAGTAGGGGCTCAAAATATCAGAAACCAGATTCAATAGACCATGACAGACTATTGTGCTTGCACACTGTTTTTTAAAAATCATGGTTTCCATTTGTTATTGTTTTATAATCTAAGACCCTATGACCCAAAGAAATGAGAACAGAAAAAAATATGTTAACTAGTCTACCACAATAAAAGTGATCAAGAAGGAAAACCACATCTCAAAGGTACATAGCAACACAAAAAAGATGGTGCCTTAACTTTTCATTCCTCAGCCCACACCTGAAAGATTCTTAATGGAATTATGTGAAGCTTTTGGTTTTTTTAAATTTTGTCTTATAGAAAGTAATACTAAGATTTATCTTTAGCTATTTATTTGGATACCACTTTCAAAGTAATTTTTCAAATTTCATTGCTGCTTGAGCTAGTAGGCTTGCAGCTGCATATGCTGCACATGCTGCAACATATCTGCTGAAATTCAGTGACTATCATTAATTAAACATACCCAAATGATTTCTTCTTGGTGATACTGTTTCCAGTTCCTTCCACTGTCACTGAACATCAGGAGGTAGCTGGTAACCCAGTCCGAACTCCCATATCCACCTTGGGTAGCAACCGCAGTGATCTCAGTTCTCTCACCGAGATCAATCTGGAGCCACTGATATTTGTTGGACACAAGAGGAGACCAACCTCCAGCTCCTTTTAGATTAGAGGGAGAAACAAAAGAAAAGAATAAAAGTTGTAGAAAGACAGAAATTATTAATGCATAGTAAACTTATGTATTATAAAAAGTCTAACTAAACTCACTCTACAGATGAGTTCAAAATGATATAGTCATTATTATCTATGAGTGCCATTTAAAAAAAATCCCTATAACAGTTCAAATAGAGGAATCTGAGCAAAAATATATTAAGACTAATTGTGATTTTGTTTTACTGCTTTTCTTTTCCTCATCTTATCCCGTAGCCTTCTTTCGCGATGGTATTTTCAGTGTATGTAATATATTTGTCAATTATGGTAATTCTCTTCACTTAGACAATGACTTCATGCCGAGGTCTCCTAACTACGCACCATAATTAATTGTCTGTTACATATTCTCATGAAGTAAATATTTTTATATTTATGTTGGGTAAAGCGAGGTAAATGTACAGATGGCGTGTATATGATTTTCCAAAGCCACTAATAAGTCAGTAGCATACCCAAGAATACAAACTACGGTCCTGAAACTGCAAAGACTTATTCACATGCTTAAATAAATAGTGCTATGGACTGGACAAAAGTTAAATGTGCAGGATCAGGGCCTACATTCTCTATCAAGCAACGAGTACCAGGATAACAGGTGTGTATAAAATGTGGTGGTGTCCCAAAAGCCCAGAGCCCATATCCCTCTCTCATCCCAACTGCCTCCTTCCCACCTGCCAAAGTCCCTGAAAGGGAGTTTGGGTGCGGGAGAGTGTTGGCTCTTGGAGGGTGTTTGGGTGCTTGGTGCAGGCTCTTGGCTGGGGCAGGGGATTGGGATGCAGGAGGGTATGCAGGGTGTAGGTTCTGGAAGGGAGTTCATGCACAGGAGAGGATGGGGGTGGGGAGAGAGAAAATGTGTGGTGCTTACCTCTGGCAGGGCAGCTCCTAGATGAGGGACTATATCAGTGGGGGGTTTCTGTGCCCTGCTCTCCCACAGGAACCTCCCATTGGCTGCAGGGGTGCTCAGGGTAGGGGCAGTACTTGGAGACATATCCCTGTCCCTGGGTCCACAGGGACATGCCAGCAGCTGCCACAGGGACATGCCAGTGTGAAATGAGTGACCAGAAGCTGCTCTAGTCCCACTGCACTACTGGTGTTGTAAATCACCCAGGTGAAGCAGGTGGTTGGGGGATGCATGAGGGGAAGTGCTTAGGGGCACCAGGTGGGGCTGGGTAGAGACTCAGCCCTGAACATTGCTGGAGCCAGCCCTGGGCCAGGAATGTTCCTGGTGCCTGGGCACCATGGACCCACATAACTTGCCATCCATGACTAGTACTCTTTGGGCACTATATAAATAATAGGGGTCACAGTTGTAATTCACAGGAAAAGTGGAACTTTATAATCTTCTATGAAGGTATCAGGACCCACTATTTTATTTTTTCACATAATAGGATACAAAGTTATGATGTAGTGTGCAGTATTACTGGAGTGCAGTAACGGTAAATGAGGAAAGGTTATATTTTATTTAATACAGACGAATAAAAATAGCCACTTTCCCCAAACACTAGCCATCCTTAACAAATGTGTAAAGAACACACTGAATGGCACCATATTCAGCAGCAAGCAATATAATAGTGGAGAATAAATGATGTATTAGTCCATTTCCATATACTTTTACATTTGGGGGTAGTTTAATGTGCATTCTGTTTTGTAATAAAAAGCATAATATTGGGTTTAAAGGTTTGCAGAATTGTGACTTAGTCTCAATATTATTTCTTTTTAAACTAATTTTTTTAGGATTTTCTTCATTTTTTGAATGAGCCTCGCATATATGCTCTGCAAGAAGAAAGCTCTTCTCTGGCTGATCACGGAGGGCATATCCATAATGTTATAACCCCTATATGTAATGGATTTATGTACTAATTCAATATAAAAGCTTCCCCTGTTAAACCCCTATAATAAAATTTAAAATGCTAGTGGCCTAATATTAGTCTACTGAAGCGATGCATCTTTTCTAGGCATAAATTTAGATAATGCCAAAATGTTCCAACTTAGGGGTGATATGACAATACCTGTAAGAAATTTAAGTGTGGGGTAGAATGTATGGAGTTATAGGCAGGGGGCTGGGAAGTGTTGAGGTGTGGGGCACTCAGGGCAGGGGGTGGTGATGTGAGGGGCTCAGGGCAGGAGCCTAGGAGTTTGGGGTACAGGAATCAGGGTTGGGAGTAACATGGGGTGCGGGCAGAGACTTGTGGTGTGTGATGAAGTACGAGAGTTAGGGTTGGGGTGTGAAGAATGACTCAGGGTAGGGGCCTGGGAGTGTTGGGGATCCAGGAGATAGGACAGGGGACTGGGGATGTGGGGGTGCAGGAATCACAACAGGGGGGTTGGATTGCTCAGGTCAGGTGGTTGGAGTGTGGGACTATTAAAGAGAAATGACCATGATCACACCTGCAGAAGTATCCATAGTACATAGGATATGCAAGAAAGAAACTTAAAAAACAATGAGTGGTCCTGTAGCACCTTAGGGTCTGTCTACACTACCCTCCTATTTTGAAATAGGAGGGTAATGTAGGCATACCGCAATTGCAAATGAAGCCCGGGATTTGAATTTCCCGGGCTTCATTTGCATAAGCGGGGCGCCTCCATTTTTAAATCCCCGCTTGTTCGAACCCCGTGCCGCGTGGCTACACGCGGCATGAACTAGGTAGTTCGAACTAGGAAGCCTAGTTCAAACTACCTAGTTCGTGCCGCGTGTAGCCGCGCAGCACGGGGTTCGAACGAGCGGGGATTTAAAAATGGCGGCGCCCCGCTTATGCAAATGAAGCCCGGGAAATTCAAATCCCGGGCTTCATTTGCAATTGCGGTATGCCTACATTACCCCGCTAGTTTGAACTAGCAAGGTAGTGTAGACATACCCTTAGAGACTAACAAAAAAATGTATATACTATACGTTGGACCTCCTTAGTCCAGCACCCTCACGACCTGACCAGTCCCAGATGAGGGATTTTGCCAGAGCAGGGAAGGTCATTTCTGCCCCCCACCCCCAGCCATGGCCTTGCTGCCAGCCTCCCAGATGGCTCCCCACTGCCGCTGGCCCCTCCACATGCAGGGCTCCTGGCTGCACCTTGGCAGCCCCACCGTGCCATGCATAGCCCCACTGCTGGGTTCCTGTTTTGCTGCCACAGGGCAATAGGGCTCCCAGCCACCAGCCCTCCAATAGAACTCTCAGGTCTGGGATGTTGCCGGATGAGGGAGTTCCGATTAAGAAAGGTTCAATCTGTATCATGAGCTTTCATGGACATAACACTTTTCTTCAGATGAGTGTAGAAAGAGGCATTAAGAGGTACAGAAACGCCCAAATTTAAAGCAGAAAAAGAGGGGAGAGGAGGAGGAGAAAGAAAAAAACCTGACAATTATAGCAACAAGGAGTTCTGTGGCACCTTATAGATTAACAGATGTATTGGAGCACAAGCTTTCATGGGCAAAGACCCACTTCATCAAACGCATCTGATGAAGTGGGTCTTTGCCCACAAAAACTTATGCTCCAACACATCTGTTAGTCTATAAGGGTATGTCTACACCCTTATAGGTGTAGGTCCCAAATGAAGAGAGTCTAATGAGACTGGGACTTTTCAGCTTAGAGAAGAGGAGACTGAGGGGGGATATGATAGAGGTCTATAAAACCAAGAGTGGTGTGGAGGGTGCATAAAGAAAAGTTCTCCATTAGTTCCCATAATAGAAGGACTAGAGGACACCAAAGGAAAGGAATGGGTTGCAGGCTTCAAACTAGTAACAGAAAGTTCTTCTTCACAAAGCAAAGAGTCAACCTGTGGAACTCCTTGCTGAAGGATGCTGTGAAGGCTAGAACTAGAACAGAGTTTAAAGAGAAGTGAGATCAAGTCATGGAGGTTGGGTCCATGGAGTGGTATTAGCCAGGGGGTAGAAATGGTGTCCCTGCCCAAAGTTTGTGGAAGGCTGGAGAGGGATGACACGAGACAAATGGCTTGGTCACTGTCTTTGGTCCATCCCCTCCAGGGTCCCTAGGGTTGGCTGCTGTCGGCAGACAGGCTACTGGACTAGATGGACCTTTGGTCTGACCCAGTACGGCCATTCTAAGCTCAGGGCTCAGGGTTGGGGGTCTCAGTGGACCACCCTGATTTTCAAGCAAACCTGCTCCTGGGTGGCCAGGCTGGCAGCTCTCCTGCCCTAGATGGCCACTTTCCTGTGCCTAGTGCAGAGTTCGTGGATGAGGTCCACGATGTCTGCACTAGACCAGGTGGGTGCCCACCTCTTGTGGTCCCGAGAGCCGCCAGACTGGTCCCGGGAAGAGGCAGAGGGCTGTGGGGCATCGGGTGGCTGGCTCATGGTGTGCCAGGTGCAAGGTCTGCTGGCTGGGTGCTGGCAGGCTTTCACCTGGCACGGGCACCGTAGCCAGCTCGTGCCCCTTTAAAGGCTCCGGGGCCGGGAGGGGGGCATACGAGTTTCCCTGGTGGTGCCCAGAGTGGCCACCAGGGAAAGCTGAGGAGGGCTAGCCTCCCACTAGTTTGAATTAAGGGGCTACACAGCCCTTAATTCGAACTAGTATGTTCAAACTAGGCTTAGTCCTCGTGCAATGAGGTTTACCTAGTTTGAACTAAGCACTCCGCTAGTTCGAATCAAGTTCGAAGTAGCGGAGCGCTAGTGTAGCGCCTATGAAAGTTAATTTGAACTAACATCCGTTAGTTCTAATTAACTTTGTAGTGTAGACATACCCTAAGGTGCCATAGGACTCCTTGTTGCTTTGCAGATCCAGTCTAACACGGCTACCCCTCTGACACCTATCAATTATAGTGTCTCTGCTAAACGAAGCTATAGTTTTATCATTTATCACAATTTTTCCTTAAGCAGATACCTCTCAATTACATCAAAGTGAAGCATTATATAATATGCAGTAAAGGGATAGTCGGTGACCAGCAAGCAAACAAGGGAACATTTACATAGTCCTTGGAAATAGAATTGCAAAAAAGGATGTGTAA